TGTGTCACTTCAAGAAATATCAATAATTTGGTTTATGACGGACTGGGCTGGGGTGATCACACAGGGCTGTGAAACTCGTCTCCCTGGTCTCAGGGCTGCAGGTGCAGGATGTGGGGATCGGAAGGCCACCTTACAGGGCTGTGAACCTCATGGATCTCCTTTCCTCCTGTAGCGTTCCTGAGGTAATGAAACTGACAAACCTCAGTTGATGGCGGTTAAAACTGGCTCTCTGCTGCAAAGATCTCGCGGCAGCGGTGACACCACGCCTCCACGCCACAAGCAGGGAGCAGGGATTGGAGCAGAGCACAGGCAGCCTCTAAATGTGCAGGTTTTCCCCACACCAACAGTCAAAGTACCTCGGCGTGTCACGAGTGACACGCGTGTCACAGGTTAGCCATCACTGTCTTAAGCCAATGGTTGTACGTCGAGGACCACCTTTAACAGCAGAGGGAGGGAGCAGTTGGAGGGAGACCCTCCTTCTCCCCACTGATAAGGGTGGGGAAAGAGGAGGGGGGGTCCCCAGCCATACCTGCTCGCCCCAGTCTTCGCCCCAGCTGTTCTTGATCGCCCAGAAGGGAATCCGGCCACCTGTAGGAAGAAGACACAACTGTCAAGAAAACGGCCCTGGTGTGCTACTCGCTTCCAGAAAGCAGAACAGGATCTCGGGGGGAAACAGCTGATCACAACTCCCATTATCCCCAGCAGAGCCAAATGGGAGTTGGGAGAAGCAGAAATCCCCCCCAGAATTCAACACGTTGGACTAGAAAGTGTTTCTCAACCTATGGCAACTTTAAAAGGGGGGGGGGGTGGACTCCAACCCCCAAATTTCCCAGGAAGCATGGCCGGCTGGGGAATTATGGGAGTTGGAAGTCCACTCCTCTTACAAGTTGCCATGGTTGTCAAACCCTGAATCAAAGAGATCCTACTCCAAAAGGGATCTTGGATTTGAGTTCCGATGGATGGATTTCCTATACTGTTGTTTTGCAGACAACTGAGATACATTCAGGGTGAAAATGGTCTCAGGATTGAATGCAGCGTCCAAAGCGATTGTGTGAAAGGAACCGGCTTGTGTTTAGGAGCGTTCATGCTCCAAAAATAAACTCACGTTTAAAAAAAATGGTAATGTCAACGCATAAAACGTTTCTAGGCCTGTTTTAGGTTTGCCGTGAACAGAAGGGAAGGGGGGGAGAAATTTGAAAGAGCAGAGCAGCCGTTTGGAACCGAAAGTGCATTCCACTCTTATCTTGCAAAGATTGTAACTAAGCTACCGGAATTTCTGCCTCTCTAATTGGAGAATGTGATGGGTGACTCTTGGCTATGAACATGTTTCTGTTGGAGAATATGAATTATGATACACACCCAGAGGGGTGCAGTTGAAACCAGGGTCAAGGGTGACAGTGAGTTACGTGTCTCAGAATCGGCTTCGTAATAAGTCATACCGACATGTTCGCTCCTAACAAATCCTTTGAAGTTTTTGAAGTTTGGCTCGAGGCTCATGGTTTAATGAGAGCAACTGCCGGAATCCTGACAGTTAATCTATTCTGGGGTTCCATCTGCTGGGGGAAGGAGATTAAGGGCTGTTTTTGTTTTTCCATCCTGAAATGCACTGGAATGAAACGCTGTTCAAGTCTACCAGCTCCAAACGAGTTTGGGAAACCCTCCAAAGCAGGCTGAGGTTCATGTCCGAAGAGATGGCCCAGTTCTGCCATCCCAGGGAAGAGAGTCCAAAGCGCACAGAAAGCATTAAAAAAAGAGGTTCACAAAGAAAAATCCAGAATGAAGAACCAGCAATTAAGACGCACGCACAACGGACGGGGCCCACAGGATTTCTCTCAACCCAAAAGAGCCACTCACGTTTGCCGTAGCCCACCAAGAGGACGGCGTGGTCAATCATCCAGGGATTACACAGCACGAAGAAGGGGTGGGAAACGCCTTTGCGGTAGAACTGGAGAGAGAAGAAGAAGAAAAAAGGCAAATTAAAATGTAATTATGGTAAGCAAGACCCCAGGAATACAGAGTCGGAAGGTTATCTTGGAGGCCTTCCACTCCAATCCCCTGCCGCAGGTGTCCAACTTTAAAACTTTAAGACTTGCTGGATGGGGAATTCTGGGAGTTGAAGTCCACAAGTCTTAAAGTTGCCAAGGTTACACACCTTTACCCTACACCATTCCAGACAAGTGGCTGTCCAATCTTTTCTTTAAAATCTCCACTGTTGATTTGGACTGCAGAAAAAACAATTACTATCAACCTGCCTTCCATGGAGGACCTTTATACTGCACGGGTCAAAAAGAGGGCTGTGAAAATATCTACAGACCCCTCACATCCCGGACATAAACTGGTTCAACTCCCACCTTCAAAACGACGCTATAGAGCAATTGCACACCAGAACAATTAGACACAAGGACAGTTTTTCCCCGAACGCCATCGCTCTGCTAAACAAATAATTCCCTCAACACTGTTCAACTATTTACAAAGTGTACACTACTATTACTGTTAATCTTCTCATCACTCCTTATCACCCATCCCCTCCCACTTGTGATTGTAGGACTGTAATCTTGTTGCTTGTATCCTTACGATCTATATTGACTTATTTCCTAGTAGGATTTGATTGCTTATTGTACCCTGTGACTCTTATTAAGTGTTGCACCTGATGATTCTTGACTCTTGACGGATGTCTCTTTTCTTTTATGTACACTGAGAGCATTTGCACCAAAGATGAATTTCTTGTGTGTCCAATCACACTTGGCCAATAAAGAATTCTGTTCTGTTCTGTTCTTATTGTACCCTGTGACTATTATTAAGTGTTGTACCTGATGATTCTTGACGGATGTATCTTTTATTTTATGTACATTGAGAGCATTTGCACCAAGACAAATTCCTTGTGTGTCCAATCACACTTGGCCAATAAAGAATTGCATTGTATTGGAGCATCCACAACAAGCCATTCCACTGGTTAATTGTTCTCACCGTTAGGAAATTTCTCCTTAGTTCTAGATTGGATCTCTCTTTAAAAAAAACCTTCCACCTATTCTTTCTTGTCCTGCCTTCTAGTGCTTCTTCTTGTGGCAGCCCCTCAAATATTGGAACACAGCTACGAGGCCCACCCCTAATCCTTCTCTTCCTTTGACATACTCATTTCTCACAACCATTCTTCATATGTTTTAGCTTCCAGTCGCCTAACCATCTAACCATTTTCTCTGCAGACTTTCTAGGGTCTCAGGATCCAAAAAAGTTCAGGATCCAAAAAGGATCTTGACAGACTTGAACAATGCCATTTTATCCTATGCAATAAAATGAAATTGAACGGGGAGAAAAGCAAGGTTTTACACCTGGGCAGGAAAAAATCAAAGGGACAAGTACAGAGTAGGCGAAACCTAGCCCGAAAACAGTAACGGTGAGAGGGAATTTGGAGTCTTCGTGGACGATTGCTTAGCCAGCGGTGTGTAGCGGCAGCCAAAAAAGCCAATGCAATCCTTGGTTGCATAAACAGACCCACAGAATCAAAATCACGTGAAGTATTGGTACCACTTTATAAATCCTTAGCAAGGTCCCACCTGGAATCCTGCATCCAGGTATGGCCATCCCATTACAAAAAAAAAAGATGTTGAGACTTTTGGGAAAAGTGCAGAGAAGAGCAACCAAGATGATTAAAGGCCTGGAAATGAAAGCATATGAAGAACGGCTGCTGGAATTGGGTTTGGCCAGTCTAGACAAAAAGAAGGACCTAGGGGTGATATAATAGCAATCTTCCAGTATTTGGGGGGGCTGTTGCAGAGAGAAGGGAGTCCACTTATTTTCCAAAGCACCAGAAGGCAAGAAGCAACGGATGGAAACTAAGAAATAAGGAGGAATTTCCTGACAGGGAGGACCATTAACCCGTGGGATAGCAGAAATCATGGCCGCTCCATCGCTGGAGGTTTTTAAGAAGAGACTGGACAGCCACTTGTCTGAGGGGGTATATAGGGTATCCTGCTTGAGCAGGGGGTTGGACTAGAAGACCTCCAAGGTCCCTTCAAGCTCTATTCTGATTACTTGATTGATGGATGGATTGATTTGTGAGTCTCTCACCTGCATAGCAAAGGCGTTCAGAGCAATGGAGATGGGGCCGTTCTTGGCCAGCCAAGCTGCAATCTCTGTCCAAGGAGAGAGGAGCACAGGTAAGAGGGAGGGGCACCTAAGGAAGGGGGGGCTGCCTGAGGTCCCACCTTTCCCCCCCAAAACGGATAATCTCTCATGCCTCATTCATTTCAAGTGAAAACTCCTTACAAGGGTGAACATATACGTGCACTGCAAGGTTTACTACGTCATCCGACATAGATAGTTCTCGACTTATAATCAAAATTGTGAATGGAATTACAATTATAAGTTATTGTAATCATAAATTAAGGCTTCCCTTCCCTTTCTTTCTTTTAGTCTCTCTTGCTCTTTCTTTCCCAATCCTTCCTTTCTTTCTTTCTCCCTCCTCTTCCTTCCTCCCTCCCTCCCTCTCTCTTTTTCTTTCTTTCTTCCTGCTTAGGCAGGGGGTTGTACTAGATGACCTACAAGGTCCCTTCCAACTCGGATTATCTATTTCCTTTTCTTTCTTTTTCTTTCTTTCTTTCTTTCTTTCTTTCTTTCTTTCTTTCTTTCTTTCTTTCTTTCTTTCTTTCTTTCTTTCTTTCTTTTCTTTCTTTCTGCCTTTCCTTTCTTTCTGCCTTTCTGCCTTTCTTTCTGCCTTTCTTTCTTTCTTTCTTTCTTTCTTTCTTTCTTTCTCTCTCTCTCTCTCTCTCTCTCTCTCTCTCTCTCTCCTTCCTTCCTTCCTTCCTTCCTTCCTTCCTTCCGTCCGTCTGTCCGTCCGTCCGTCTTTTCATTCTTGTTCTGTTTACCATTTTTCTTTCACTTTCACTCTCTATTTTAAATAAAATCTGTACGGTTTTTTCACTCTGTGAGAACCACTCCTTTCCCAAAAGCTAACCAAGCGAGAGGCCAGCAACGCACCGTTCTCGTCCGGGGAGATGGCCACGCTGCTGTTGATGTACACGGCCACTTTCTCCTTGGAGAAGCCACATTTCTGTTCGAAACCTTGATAGCTGTAATCCCCCTCGGTCTCCAGGCCCCCTGGAGGAATGCAAGGCAGAAACCCTGTCAAGGAAGGTTCCAGAAGGAACTTGGGGAAAATCAGAGGGGGAAACAGAGACTCCAGTTGGCAAGCAAGGAAACTTTTGGAGCCATGTTGAAAACGCAGGGGAATTTCTTTCGTTATCATTAGGAAAACTACGTCCTAACAACATTTGAACCACCTCAGGTCTTATTCTATGGAGCTTCTCAGTCCTCCATGTCCTGGTTGTCCCAAATGTGCTTTTTTCAAGAGGCAACTAACTGGACTTTCTGATTTTTCTTTGAAGATTTTTCGCTTCTCAGGGCTGGATGTGGGAAATAGAAAGATTTATACTCTCTCAACAAGAGGGGGGCGGGATATGACACCATCTGTCTCCAATCTACAACACCGTCCTTCTTTCCACAGTTCCCAGAAGGCCCCACACCCATTTGCACCACTCAGGTGACCCCGAGGACACAGACAAACCTCCAAGCGGCCTCAATGACCTTCTAAAAGGATGCAAATGACCAGCTGCCTGCAAGAACTATAAACCCTTCCATTCCCCACCATCCAGTCAGAGCTGAAGAAGCTTCTCGGATGAGAAGCGAAACGTCTTCGAAAGAAAAAGAAAAAAGCCCCTTTGGAACAACCTCAGCTCTTTTTCATGCAATTCTTAAGTCTCAGGAGAAAAAAGAAAGTCCAATCCACTCGAATACAGATAATCCTTGACTTACACATTTAGTTGACAGTTCAAAGTTACAATGGCACTGGGCAAAAAGTGACTTACAATAATGTTTCACCCTTATGACCCTTGTAGCGTCCCCAGGGTCACATAATCAAAGCTCAGCTGCTTGGCAACTGGCGCATCCTTATGACAGTTGCGGTGTGTCCACGATCCCCTTTTGCAACCTTCTGATAAACAAAATCCATGGGGAAGTTGGATGCCCTTCATAACTCTGTGACTAACTCATCTACTGCAGTGATTCACTTAACAACGGTCTCACTTAAGTGTTCTGACCCAAACTTTGTTCCAACGAAACAGAGGTAACAGCAAAACCTTTAAATGATTCTTTACGAATTCCGTTCCTTCCTGGTTAAAAGGCTGTTTTTCAAACTCATTGTCTCTAATAAGGAAGAGCCTTGCCAAGGTGGTGCAAGGCTGCCAAGAACACTAGATAAAGTTACTCAGAAATATTTCAAACACAAAGGGTCTCCAAACACCAACTAAGATATCACAAACGTCCACCAGGCTTGAGTGCGAAAACTTCTTTGCTTCCTGCAAAGAACTCTGGTTTCTCAGCTGGCTTTTATCTCTTAAGGGAGGGGCCATCACCTTGCAGCCTTACTCCCGAGTCCCCTGTGCTGCTGCAGCTGCTCTTTCCTTCGAGCAGCCCTGTGCGCACACACGCTGGGCACAGGCTCCTCGGGATCCTCTTCCTCACTGCTGCCAGCCTCCTCAATCTCCGGAGGCAGCACCCCACTCCCTGATGGTCCTGGCCCCATCCCTGCCTCACACGCAGGCCCCTCCTCTGAGTTCTCACTGAGGCCTCAGCCGTCCACACCTGCTGCTGGCGAACCACCACAGAGAGATCATAAAATGGGGCAATGCTCCTCTAACATGTCTCCCTTAACAACAAGAATTTTGGGCTCAACTGCGGTTGTAAAATGAGGGCTACCTGTACTCATCCTTTTCCCCCTTTTAATTCTGACCCACCAGCTTTTAACCTCACGTGATACCCCAAAAAAGACAAAAGAGACCTTTGCTCGAAAAAAAACTATGCAGAAGAAGCTTCAGAAGCCGATGGCCTCAAAATCACCGGTCCAGGACGGCTCGCTCAGCAAAACACCAAAGGAACAATTGGTTTCGCTGAGTTGCTATCAAGTTGCCCAGAAAGCCTGCGCTTGTTTTCTGCTTAAAAAGTCCAGAGTTCACACTTCCGGTTTGAAGGGCTTCGGCGACAGACAGGAATCCGCGATCGTGCGCGGTTTCTTTCTGGGCTCGCCGCTGGAGCGCCCCGAGCCGGCTGGTTTTGGGGCTAAGCCACCCCGTAGAGGTGGTGAAGAGGGGGGAGACCGCCA